CACGCATGCCCTTAGTGTTTCTATCCTTCTACATAGTTACACATTTAGTCTTTAAATTTCACAACTTGAAATAGAATAAAATATTTGTAATATATCACCTTTAAATAGACATTCCAGATGTCATCACCATCAACAACAAATCTTATTCTTGGTTGAATTAAAACCAAATCCGAACGTGGCCATCATGGTGAATAATGAGTTGTATTTTTTTTTTTTTCCAAATCTTCAGTTTAGACTCAATGTGTGGGGACGCCACAATTCACACATAGGAATTGCAGTTCACAAACTATGTTCCAATGCTTGAAGGTATCCTGAACTGAAAGTGCCGTTTTGGCACTTCCAACCATTCAGGTAAAGGTCCTTCGGGAGCGAAATGAGGTAAATTTCTTCAACTTTGGCCCATGTCCTTCTTATACCCTTCTTGTCTAGGTACTTCTACCTAGCTCAAACATACTACGCTGCACGAACATAATGGTAAAGCCAATAATTTGAGCAAATACGGGTACGTACAAACAAAGTAGCATCATATAAACGATGAAGACACGGAAAGTAGTCTATGTTGAAAGTAAGGAAAATTTGTGATAATACAATCAAACTGCAAAATTATACATAGTGAAACCATTCACTTAAATGTTAGGTTTTCCTCAAGACATTCTCCAGTACACATCCAATGCTAATTGATTTCGAAACAATGACCATTCAACATATGTCTCCACAGTGTCTACGACGTCATTCTCATATTCACCCTTCGCATGAATTACCTCAGGCAACTCTTCCTTAATTGGGTCTACACTCATTTCATTTATGATCAGGTTATGCAACAAACAACACGCAGCTATGATGCGATTATGCGTGTGAACTGGGTAGTAGCACGGTATCTTAAGTATTACCCATCTATTTTTTAACAAGACAAAACATCTCTCAATGTATGTCCTTACAGCTGAATGCCTAAGGTTGAACAATTCTTTGGCATTACGGGGAGCTATCGCATCAGCTCCAAACTCTTGTATATGATATCTTTGACCCTAAATAGTGCTAAAAATCTCTCCCCATTAGTGTAACCAACATCAACTAGATAATAGGTCTATGTGTTGTATAAAGTATGTTTATTAATCTAACACGTTGTGTATAAAAATTCAATAATTTTTTACTGTATCATTTTATTACACACTTACCACGTGCGACTTTCAAGTTGTTAGGTCTAGTCACTGCATCACGTAGTATTCTAGAACCGGCAGCAGACCCCTCCCAACCAAGAAGAACGTAAATGAATTCCACAAACACCCAACACATTTGTTATTATGCCACATCTACGTGTTTTATACCTAACTTGATTGGCAAGAGGTACTCGGGCTAAAACATAAGTGTCATCTAAGGCATCCACATAATTCTACAACCGCGGGGGGGGGGGGGGG